GGGCTTAGTGTTTAGAGTTTAGGGAAGATTCAGCTCCTCCACTACAGTTTGGGGTATATAGGGCTTAAGATATATAGGGTTTAGGGTATATAGGGTTTAGGGTTTAGGGCTTAAGGGTTTGGGGTTCAGGGCCTAAGGGTTTGGGGTTTAGGGTTTTGGGCTTAAGGGTTTGGGGTTTAGGGTTTAGGGCCTGAGGGTTTTGGGCTTAGGGTTTAGGGTTTGGGGTTTTGGGGTTTAGGCTTCAGGGCTTGAGGGTTTGAGGGTTTAGGGTTTACGCTTCAGGGTTTGAGGGTTTGGAGCTTTTGGTTTTTAGGCTCAGAATTTAGGGGGCTTAGGGTTTCGGATTTCCAGTGTCCAAAATATCAAGAAGCGGCTCTTCGGGTTTGGGATTGTGCAGGGCTCCCTAAACCCTAAACCCTAAACCGGCCCTGAACCCTAAACCCTAAACCCTAAACCCTAAGCCCTCACCTTCCCTAGATTCCGAAGATGCAAGAGGCGCACCTTCATCAGCTTCACGTCCTCCTTGAAGCGGTGGTAGTGATCGCAGGCTGTGGTGCCATTGTCCCCGTTCTTGACCTGGCCACGCTTTAGGGTTCAGGGCTTAGAGCTTAGGGTTTAAGGTTTAGGGTTTAGGGTTTAGGATTTAGGGTTAAGGGTTTAGGGTTTAGGGTAGGGTTTAGGGTTTTGGGTTTAGGGTTTAGGGCGTAGCACCTACTATTGCCATTGGACAACTTCCTGTAGGTATTAAAACCTGAGTAAGACCCCGAAGCCAAACGTGCAAAGTCGGGGGCCTCAAGCCTTTGAGCAGGGCCTAAAGAGGGACGCGATGACTGAATTATTCAGACCGCTCTACCCTCAACCCTAAAACCCCTAAATCCTGAACCGTAAACCCCTAAAACCCCAAAAATCCTGAACTGTAAACATCTGAAACCCTTGGCCTTAACCTCAGAAGCCTACAGGAACCCTCATGGCGCAGTCATTCAAACCCTTCTATTACGCACACTCCTTCGAACGCCGGCCTTACCCTCTGTGGCACAGAAGGTGTCCCAGATGCCTTCATGGCTCTTGGTTTTCGGGGGTTTGGAACCCTAAACCCTAAACCCTAAACCCTAAACCAAACCCTAAACCCTAAACCCTATCCCAGATGCCTTCATGGCTCTTGGTTTCGGGGGGTTTTGGTGGCTTTGTGGCCCTTGGGGGGCTTGAGTCGAAGATGGTTTGGGCGAAGTTCTCGGCTCTGTGTACGGACAGGCGTTTGGAGAGTACAAGAGTATGACTATACAGGGACTATTTAGGGTTTAGGGTTTAGGGTTTAGGGTTTAGGAAGGGAGTTCTAGTAGTACTAAGAGTTTCGAGTAGTCTAGGCGTGTCGTAGGATTCTACCTAGAAAACCATCTCCCCTTCCTCCGTCCTTGGGCTTTCTGCGAAGGCCGCAGGCATAGGATTGTTGCCAGAGAAGCCTGAAGAATCATTCCAAATACTATACCCGAGCGTCGTCTGATAAGTATGGCATAAAATACCCGACAAAATACCCGACAAAATACCCGACAGCCCTGTTCTATCATGGCCCCTAATATGACCACCTCAAGCTGTCATGGAAGCTGGCCTGGGCATTTCTGACCCCCCGAGCCTTAGCCTGACCTTTCTGCAGACTCATACGCTAAACCCTAAATTCCCAGACTCCCCTAAACCCTAAAACCCCACCCCCTAAACCCTAAACCCTAAACTCTAACCCCTAACCCCTAAATCCTAAATCTTAAACCCTAAATCTTAAACCCTCACCTAAACCCTGAAACCCCAAACCCTAAATCTTAAACCCTAAACCTAAACCCTTGAACCCTAAACCCCCTTGCAGCTCGGTGGCAGGCTGTCCGTCCGCCCTCGAAGGCTCCACCTTCGATCCTGCGGCTTCAGGTGCTCTTAACGGGGGGAGTGCTTTAAAAGGGTTCCTCCCAAAGGGTTCCTTTAAAACGGTTCCTCAAAAGGGTTCCTTTAGAGGGTTCCAAGAAGGGTTCGTTTAAAGGGTTCCTGTAAAGGGGTTCCTGTAAAGGGGTTCCTTTAAAGGGTTCCTGTATGGGGTTGATTTGAAGGGTTCCTGTAAAGGGTTCCTGTACGTAAGGGTTTCTTTAAGGGTTCCTGTAAGGCTTTCTTTTTAGGGTTCCTTTAAAAAGAGTTCCTTTTCAGGGTTGCTCTAACTAAGACCGTGATCAGAACCCTATCCCCACAAAACCCCGAGGCAGGACTCACATCATGGGTGTTGCCAGGGTACTTGCCCCTGAAGAGGAAATCGAAAAGTCCTGAACCCTGAGCCTCAAGACCTAACACCCTCTAAGGCCTAAGCCCTAAACTACAAGCCCTGAGCCTCGAACCCTAATCCCTAATCCCTAAACCCTAAACCCTGAACCCACGGTCAGGGTGTTTTTGTTTTTGTTGTGGCCCCTTTTTGCTCG